GGTCCTCCAGGTGTTTTGGACTTCAACTCCCACAATTCCTAACAGCCGATAGGCTGTTAGGAATTGTGGGAGTTGTAGTCCAAAACACCTGGAGGACCAAAGTTTGCCCATTCCTGCCCTATACTTTAGAATGAATGCAGTTTGACCCCACTTTAACGCAATGTTAAGGAATCCTGGGAGTTGTATTTTTAGCCTTTATCCTTACCTGTCAAAGAGTGCTTATGCATCACCAAACTACAGCTCCCATGATTCCTTAACATTGCACCATGACAGTTAAAGTGGCATCAAACTGCGTTCGTTCTACAATGCAGATGTGTCCCAAGGAGCTCATATTCACCTCCATTTGATTCTAGTTTGTTTTATTGTCTCGGTTTTGTATTCCTGGCCTGCTCTGCTGCCATTCCCCTCCGTTGCTGATTGCTTTGACAGCAAGACTTCCATGCAAAACTGCTGCCAAGTGCTAGATTAACCTTTCGTCATACAAATGAGCCAAGGCTTGCAACACTGGGGATGTGCATATATGCTTGGGAGGAAAACCCTCTTGGAAGTAAACAGGAGTAAAGTCTGAGTAAACTTGTGTAGAGCCAGGCTGTGGGTGTAGGTTAGCTCAATGGGATCTAATGGATCAAGGAGGAATTGCTCAGCCTAAGAGGTGCCCTTGGAGTTTGCTGTAGCACGTGATGACATTATCAGGATGGACTTTCTTCTAGGTCTATCCTCCTTAGGTTTAGGAAGTATAGGCTGAAGTGTTGAAAGGTCACCTGAAGTAGACTGCTTCATCTGGGATTCGTAGTTTGTTGAGGCACTCTTTGATAGAGAAACCCAAAGACTTTTTAAAACCACAACTCCCATGATTCCATTGCATTGAGTCATGGCTGTTACTTGCTTACCTAGTTAGGTGATCCCTCATTGTCCTAGTAGGATAATCCTCCAGGATGGGTCCGTAGATGGCTGTTAATGCCATGTCCAACTGCATTGATTCTACCATGTAGATCAGTGTTTCTCAACCTGGGGATCGAGACCCATGGGGGGGGGTCACAAAGTGGTGTCAGAGGGGTCACCAAAGATCTATTCTATTGGTCATGGGGGTTCTGTGTGGGAAGTTTGTCAAATTCTACCATTGGTAGGGTTCAGAATGCTCTTTGATTGTAGGTGAACTATAAATCACAGCAACTATAACTCCCAAATGTCAATTCTCTTTTCCCCAAGCTCCACATTTGGGAATATTGAGTATTCATACCAAGTTTAGTCCAGATCCATCATTGTTTCAATCCACATTGCTCTCTGGATGTAAGTGAACTACAGCTCTCGAACTCAAGATCAATGCTCACTAGACCCTTCCAGTATTTTCTCTTGGTCATGAGAGTTCTGTGTGCCAAGTTTGGGTCAATTCCATAATTGTTGGAGTTCGGAATGCTCTTTGATTGTAGGTGAATTATAAATCCCAGCAACTACAACTTCAAAATGACAAAATCAATTCCCCCTCTCCAGGGGTGGCTCAACCCATTACGCAAAGTAAGCATTTGCAGTATAGTTGATTTTGCCCAGGGGCGCTCTTGAGGTGCTCTTGGGGGAAAATAGACCTTGACATATGTGAGTTGTAGTTACTGGGATGTATAGTTCACCTACAATCAAAGAGCATTCTGAACTCCACCAATGATGGAATTGAACAGAACTCCCACGACGAACAGAAAATATATATCAGTGATTGGTTGGGGGGAGGCGCCAAAATACTGTTTACTTACCGTCGAAGATTACCTAGGTCCGCCCCCAATCCCACCAGTATTTGAATGTGGACATGTTGTGTATTTGTGCCAAATTTCATCCAGTGGATGAAAATACATCCTGCATATCAGATATTTACATTACGATTAATAACAGTAGGAAAATTACAGTTATGAATTAGCAACAAAAATCATTTTATGGTTGGGGGTCACCAGAACATGAGGAACTGTTTTAAGGGGTCGCAGCATTAGGAAGGTTGAGAAACACTACACTAAGACACGGACATCTTTGGAAT